AAATTTCAGCTTCCTAGATTCTGCAGTTCCTGAGACAATAATTTTCCTCGCCAAAACTTTTATGAGGCCATACGTGTTACCCATGGGTACGGGAAGGTTGCAAATTTGCGGGGTCACACGTGCAGGGCCGTACGCGTTACCCGCGGGTACGGGGAAGCTGAATTTAAATTTGCGGGGTCACACGTGGTGTGGGGAACGTTACCCTAAATTTTCAGCTTCCTAGCTTTTGGGTTCCCGATTTGCGGGGTCACACGTGGGTGGGGAACGTTCCCCTAAATTTTCAGCTTCCTAGCTTTTGTGGTTCCCTGCGGGGTCACACGTGGGTGGGGAACGTTCCCCTAAATTTTCAGCTTCCTAGCTTTTGTGGTTCCCAAGTTGAAAGTCACGGACAAGTTGCTGCGGAAAAATACACACACAAACACACGCACAGACAACCCCGTGACAATACGGGTTTTGTACTGTCGTTACACAGCACAAAACGCATAAAAACGAAACAGCAGCTGTTCAGGGAATCGAAATAACCACTAACCAAGTCCGGGGAAAAAATCTGTCCTGTACAGTTGCTCGCTGTGTTTCCTTTCAGTGATATTTGCGCCTCCGTTATCATTCCAAGCACTGATACACCAAACTGTTGGATCAGCGATCAATACCGGTTTTAAAGCAGTGAAGTAGGAGAAAAAATCATCGGCTATGTCAAGATCGTCTAAAAAAAACGCATATTTTGAACTAAAATTAGGAAATTTAAAAAAAAAAAAAGTGCAAGCTCTCCATTAAAAAATCTCCCCGCCGCCAAAGTCGGAACTGGCAATATTTCAAACATATATCAAAACATCAGTTTAGGAGAGAAAAGACTACTGCATCGTCTAATACCAAAAATACTAAGACCATCAGGATAATCGGTGTGATTATCGCATATTTACCTAGTATTTAATATTATATACTATGTCATTTACTAAGCTGATTATAGCATGAATGTAGCATAAAATTAATATGAAGAAATTAAATTGGGCAAGAATAGAACGAACTAAGTTTAAGCAAAGTTTTGAACAATATTCAAGGAGCAAATATTAGCAGCTAAGTGCAAAATAAATCCCAAATATTAAAGACTGAAACTTGTTGCTGGATTGCTTCACATTCTCGGAACAGATATTTTAGGCCTATCACTCCTGGACTGCATGCCCCCCTCCCCTTGTACCCCCACTAAGTCAAAAAAAAACCAAAAATCATTAGAAATGGCTCGGTGATACCGCTGTATCATTTCATCAGTAATGCTTTCGATGACCACTTTTATAGTGAACTGTTTGAGAAGCCAACTAATGGGGTTTGACTCTCTAGTAAATGTGACAATTTACTGTCCACTTCCTTCCACTAAAACAATTTTGAATCATAAATGTACTAGTTCTTCCAATAGTGATTTCAAACGGCTTGAGCTTTAAATTAGGTAGCGTCACACTATCATTTTATGAAATGTTTCATCAATTCATTAAAAATGATATAAAAGATAACAAAAAAGCGGCGCGCATCAGAACAGTCGGTGCGATCATGCA